GAAACTCTGTCTCTAGAAATAAAATAAAAATGTAAGACGTAAATTTTGTGTTATGCATATTTTATCACATTAAAAAAACATTAGCAAATCTATCCAAGTGATATATTTTCACAAGATTTTTATCCTCTTTCAAAAAGTTTAAATAAAAAGTAACACTCCGGGGAGAACAGGTACATACTTCCCAAGGTCCCATTCTCCTCTCTCCTGTGCATCTCGCAGGCCCCACCCGGGTACACACCAAACACAATCCTCTAACATCAGAGTGAACGTTCAGCCCATGGCCCGGCAGAAGCACATGAACAGGGAAGAGGAAGGACTGGGCAGGGGGATTTCATGTATCTAGATTAGAAGCAAACCAGTTTTTCAATCCCAGACAGGACCAATATGCTTGATCCCAAAGTGCACAATTTCAGCCCATGCTTATGTTTCAGGACACACTGGGGGCCACAGGCAGCTCCACCCACGTGTGCGCCCCACTGCTGGCTGCTCCTCCTGGCTTCCCGCCTCGCCTCTGTCCTCACACTCACAGGTACACAGTTCACTCAGCAGGTGGAGTTAATGGACTTGGTTTCTTGTCACTATCTCTCAAGTGAAAATGGCATTCAGTTCTACACCTTAATCCTGGCTCCCCAGCTGAATGAGGGGAGGATGGGACAAAATTCCAAACTATCACTTTATACACAGTGCTACTGTTTTAGGGTGAACAACTGCACCCTGGGTAAGCCCTGTCTGTGTTCCCCTTCACCACAAATATGCAATTCCTACATCAGCATTTATCCATAGGAAGGATTAGTTATAACTTTGTTTCATAATTAAAATTGGGAAAAATTCATCAAACTAGAGCCTCTGTGGCTAGAGTCAAAGTGGAAATATCAGTAAAAAATAGAGCGCACAGGGCCAGACTCTGCTGGAAGCACTTCAGGTGCATAATAATCTCATTCTTCCTTTCAACAACTGGTGAGATAGCTGTCTGCCCAATTCACTGATATGGAAACCGAGGTGAAAAGTCAAGTTAACTCGTAAACAGTTTAGCAAGCAATAGAGTATAGGGCTCTCAGATCCCAGAGCAACCTGGCTCTCTCACTGCCTTGAACGACCTTGGGTGAGTTGCTGATCTGATTCTCAATGTTGTCACTTACCAAATGGTGATAGTGATCCTACTTAGAGTGCTCCTGCAATGAACACATGAGAATATCCATGAAAATGCACCTGAGCAGGGCCTGTGGGCTGTGCGCTGCACACTTTTTCCTCCTCCTCCTCCCATCGTCTTCCTCCCTCCTGCCCCCACTTAAAACCACGGTAAGAGGGAAGAGCACACAGATGGACTAACAGCACAACTAACTTGATAGTAGTAATGTTTTTCCTGCCAAGATGCTCAGTGAAGAGAGAAGCCTTGAAAGGGAAGCCAGGGAGAGAAGGCAGAAGTCCCTGGTTCCTGACGAGAACTGGGGGATCTGAGCAGATCAGCCCAGGGAGACCGGGAGGACCACAGGGAGGATGGCAGAGATGATGGAGCTTCAGAGGGAAGAGAATGTGAACTGAGCAGATGATGAGGAAACCCTTGGGAAAGGTCATTTTACACAGTCTTAAAGAATCTTCCCACAGATGATTTATTCATGACAAAAAGGAATAAAAAAAATCATGGTAGAGAAAGCTGGTGGATCACCTTAAATAAAAGCAAACAGAACATCCACGAGAAAGGGACCATCCACCATGACTCTGGATGACCCACAGAGAGCACAGTGCACCCAGGTGGTCAGATGCAGCTCACAGGGCACAGTGTGAGCCAAATCCCAAGAAACTTCACAGAAACTTCAGTCCTGGCGCATTCTACAAACAGCTGACCTGTTTTCTACAGAATGTCAGTCTCATGAAAGATGAAGGCATGCCGGGGACTGATCCAGTTAAGACTGAAGATATGTTGAATAAGTACAAATTTGCGGTCCCACGCCAGTGAAAAATTGCCCCAAGGATGTTATTGGAACTGGGGAAATTCAGACATCAACTCTATATTAGGTAACAGTATGTATCAAGGTTGAATTTCCTCCATGTGACTACTGTACTGAGTAAGATGACAGCCCTGCTCTCAGGAGACCCAGGCTTGCGTATTTAGGAGTGAAGAGTCATCACGTCAGCAGCCTACTCCCAAGTGGTTCGACAACATATACGTGTGTAGCAGATATTAACAACCACTGAATCAAGGTCAAGGCTATACAATGTCCATTATACTATTCCTGCCCAATTCTGTGGATTAGAGAGAAAATATTAAGAAACTAATATAACTATTTTGAGAAGAAAAAAGGCAATTCATTTTTAAAAAATGAGCATGGAACAGTTTTCCAGTTCCTCAAACTAGATCAACATAGACTTAACATAAGCCCCAGCAACTGCACTTGTAGGTACATGTATACACTCAAGAGAAATGAAAATGTATGTCCACACAATAACTTGTACATAATTACTCATGGCAGCCTTATTCATCAGAGCCAAACAGCGGAAAGAACTTAAACATCCATCAGTGAGTTAGTGGGTAAACAAATGGTTGTATATTCAAACAGTGGAATATTACTTAGCCATAAAGGGATGAAATTCTGATGTGTTCTACAGTGTGAATGAACGTTGGAAACATGCTAAGTGACATGAGCCAGAAGCAAAGGGACAAATATTATATGATTCTACTCCTCTGAGGTACCTAGATTAGTCAAATTCATAGAGGAAAAAAATAAAATAGTGGTTGCTAGGGACTGAGGGGTGGCACCTGCAGCGTTATTGTTTAATGGGTACATTGTTCTCCTTAAACACTTTGGAACTTGACAGAGGTAGTGATTGAACAACACTGTGAATGTGTCAAATTCTACTGAATTGTTCACCTAAAAATGATTAATTTTATGTCATATGAATTTCATGTTCTTTTTTTTAAAAGCAGATAGGGAAATGAGGAGGAAGATGTGACTTAGACAGTAAGACCATGTCCAGGAAGGCCGGGCAAGGTGGCTCACGCTTGTAATCCTGGTACTCTAGGAGGCGAGGCAGGTGGATCGCCTGAGCTCAGGCGTATGAGACCAGCCTGATCAAGAATGAGACCCCATTTCCACTAAACATAGAAAAACTAGCCAGGCATTGTGGTGAGCACCTCTAGTCCCAGGTACTTGGGAAGCTGAGGTAGGAAGATCGCTTGAGCCCGGGAGTCAGAGATTGCTGTGAGCTATGATGTCATGGCACTCTACCCAGGGAAACAGAGTGAGACTCTGTCTCAAAAAAATAGATAAAGAAAAGAGTATGTATGGGAAAAGACATCCAACATGAGCACTCACTCTTGAATCTGCTGACCGGCACAAACACAGTGCCTGGTGTGCTCTGCCAGCTGGTTGTGAGATGTGCCAGCCAGAACGGAGAATGCAAAGTTGGGTAATTACAGTTTACCTGAATTCTGTAACATGTTCACTGTGCAGGAAGAATTAATTATATGTTGGGGCAGTATCATCTATATTTAAAAGTCACTAAAGAGAGAGGGGCAAGGCTGTGGTCCCAGGAGCCAAGATTTTAAAGGGAAAACCTGCCCCTTCACAGGTCCCTGGATGCCAAGGTGACGTGCCCACCTGACCACAGCAAGCTGGAAGCTCGCAGTTTTGTTCAACTAGGGCTGGGGAGTTTGGGGTTTTTTTGGGTTTGTTTGTTTTGTTTTGTTTTTTCCAGTTTTTGGCTGGGGCTGGGTTTGAACCCACCACCTACGGCATATGGGGCTGGCATCCTACTCCTTTGAGCCACAGGCGGGGGCTGCGGAGTTTTTAAAAGCCGTCTGCCCCTTCTGTTTAGAAATCTCATTTGCTTTCACTGAACAAAGCTGGCACGGAAAAAGTGACCAAGTTAGATATGTGTGACCTAACATCTTACCTTTTCCAGAAGCAACCATATTTCAATTAGAACCATGAACAGAGTGCTATACTTTCTTTATAAAAAAAATTGTTTTTTAAAAAATTCTTATCACAAAAAAAATTCACATTTACTACAAAACTTTTAAAAAGACAGATGGACAAAAAGAACGCCCTGCAGAAGAAAGCCATTGCCATAATTTGGGTGAGCTCTCCAGCCTGAGAAGGAAATACTTACCTTTAAGAAATAAATCAGTAGGCCGGGAAAAGGGGCTCAGCCCTGTAATCCTAGCACTCTGAAAGGCCAAGGTGGGAGGATTGCTTGAACTCAGGAGTTCAAGACCAACCTGAGCAAGAGTGAGACCACATCTCTACTAAAAATAGAAAAACTGAAGCAAGAGGATCGCTTGAGCCCAAGAGTTGGAGGTTGCTGTGAGCTATGATGATGCCATGGCACTCTACCCAGGGCGACAGCTTGAGACTCTGTCTCAAAAAATAAAAAAGAAAGAAATGAATCACTAATGACAGGCCTTGAACATCTTTAGAAACTTTCTTGGTGACCCTCAAATTATAATAAATGTGATGCTTTGTACAAACCCCAAGAATACCTTTCCTGAGATAGAAACAAATTCCCTGCACTTGAGATGTGCATCCAGGCAGCATTTTTCTTTTCTTTCTCTGGGATGCCCTGCCATCTCCTTGCTCTTTTCTCCCTGCCCTCCTCTCTCTCCTCCACCTCTCTCTCTCTCTGTCTCTCTCTTTCTCTCTCTCTGTCGCTTTCCTGTCTTACTCCCTCTCTCTAAGATAAAATAAACTTACACCTTTATATCCTAAAAAAAATATGCATCCAGGGAATCTGACGATGAGAGGCCTGAAAGAGTAGACGGAGTGATCATGATAAACACCAATTATCGTGGTAGGAGCGTTCCTAGGAGCGTTAAGAGAATTACCACGTCACAAGGGAGAGCAAGTCGTTTTTGCAGGTCACTTCTCAGCCTCAGGTAGACAGGGGACAACAACAGAAATGGTGCTTCTGATGTAACTCAGTGCCTGGCTCAGAAGCTGATAGAAATGGGCCTCCAGCTGCCATCGTCAGAGAGGACACTGGTCCTCGGGCCACACACTTACCCATCCAGACTTCCCCAAACTGTCCAGCGCCGAGCCTTTTCACCAACTTGATGGACTCTCGTGGGATCTCCCAGGCATCTTTATCCCATGGCTTCTGTGGCTTGGGGCTAATACATGCTTTCTCCAACCTTCTGCACAAGCCATCTGACTGCTCTGATTTGAAAGGGAAAACAAAGGTTAAGAAACGCAATGCTTTATATTTTACCAGTGTTTAGAAAGGAAAGTTTGGACTGTTAGTCTTATAGTATATAGCCAACCTGCCACAGTCTATAAACCTAGAATGTTTATGGGGAGTATCCTTCACATTAATTGTGACTTTTGAAATTCTTAAAAGAAAAGACAATTTAAAACATACTTAAGCCAAGGCAGGTGGATTGCCAGAGCTCAGGAGTTCAAGACCAGCCTCTGAATAAGATTGGGTCTCTAAAACTATAGCCAGCCTTGGGGCAAGGGCCTGTAGTCCCCGCTACTTGGGAAGCTGAGTCAAAAGATCCACTTGAGCCTGGCAGTTTGAGGTTGCCGTGAGCTGTGACACTACAGCACTCTACTGAGGACAACAAAGTGACACTCTGTCTCAAAAAAATACTTGATTTTACTTATTAGCACTGCTGATACATAAAAACCAAAATGACCAAAGCCAACGAACAACAGATACCTAAAGGCCGACAGGTTGTTACACTTAATAAAATGTGATTTCAGATGAGTGAAACCACATAAGCTCTACAGGGCACCAGGATGGGGACCTGGTCATGTTGCCATTGAACTTCCAGCCCTGGAACAGGGCCAGAGCATAGCATGCCTGAGACATGTGAGACAGATGCAAAAATGAATGGTGAGGGCAAGGGGAGGGAGAGGTGGTGAAACCAGAGGCACCTGTTCTCTCCACACTTGGAGACCTAAGCAGATCTATAATGTGCATTCCCTTCAAGCAGGTCCTAGAAAAGAGTAGTAGCAAGAACCACCCCACCTGACTTCAATCTCACAGGAAATGAACCCAGAGGTTACAGGTCCAGCCGTCACAAGGCTGGAAAGTGGCGCCAGAGGTAAAGGAACATTGACTTGCCACTTTAACATATTTCGGTGCGGGCTTGGTGCCTGTGGCTCAAGCGGCTAAGGCGCCAGCCACATACACCTAAGGTGGCG